CAGTAGAGCATGCTACTCTTGATCTTGGGGTCATGAGTTCAAGCCCCACATTGGGGGTAGAGTTTACCTTAAGAATAATAATTAGGGGGGAAAAAAGAATAATTAGGGGTACCTGGGTGGCTCAGTCGGTTAAGCATCCAACTCCTGATTTTGGCTCAGGTCATCATCTTGGGGCCCTGGGATTGAGCCCCATGTCAGGTTCCATGCTCCGAGGGGAGTCTGCTTCTCTCCTTCCTCTCCTCTGCCCCTCTCCTGGCTTGCACACCTGTGTACACATGCACTCTCTCTCTCTCAAATAAATAAATAAAATAAATCTTTTTTTTTTTAAAGAATAACTCGGGGTACCTGCTTGACTCAGTTGGTTAACTGTCTGCCTTGGGCTCAGGTGATGATCCTGGGGTCCTGGGATCAAGTCCCACGTCAGGCTCCCTGCTCAGCGTGGACTACGTTTCTGCCTCTCCCTCTGCCACTCCCCCCTGTTCATGGTCTCTCTCTCACATAAATAAAATCTTTTTAAAAAATAAAAAATTTAAAAATAAAAAAATAACTTTTTTTTTGCAGTAAAGGAAACAAATCCATTTACAAAAGCATCAAAAAGAACTAAATGCCTAAAAGTAAATTTAACAAAAGAAATGCAAAACTTTTACTGGCAACAACAAAACATTGTTGAAAAAAACTAAAAAACTAAATAAATGGAAAGCATCATGTTCATGGAACAGGACACCTAATATTGGTAAGATGGCAATACTCTCCAAACTGATCTACAAATTAAACAAAATCCCTATGGAAACCCAAGAGAGCTTCTTTGCAGAAATTGACAAACTGATCCTAAAAATCATATGGAAATTCTAGGGACCCAGAATGACCAAAATAATCTTAAAAAAAAGAGGAACAATAACAATAAAAAATTTTAAAAAAAAAGAAGAAGAAGAACAAAGTTGGAGGACATATTCCTCAAATTCAAAACTTATTACAAAACAACAGTAATCACAACAGGGTAGTAGTGGCTTAGGATAGATATACAGATCAAAAGAATACAACTGAGAGTCCAGAAAGAAACCCTCAGATTTACAGTCAATTAAATTTCAACAAGGGTATCAAGGTAATTCACTGGGAAAAGAATGGTCTCATCAGCAAATGCTACTGGAACAACTGGATATCCACATGCAAAGGAATTAATTTGGACTCCATATGTTAAAAACAACTCAAAATGGGTCAAACACCTAAATCTAAGACCTAAAACTATAACACTCTGAGAAGAAATCGTAGGTGTAAAATTCTTATAACATCGATCTAGGCAATGGTTTCTTCTATATACACAAAGAGCACAGGCAATAAAAGAAACAAATAGATAAAACTGGACTTCAACAAAATTAAAAACTTTTGTGTTTCAAAGGACATTATCAAGAAAGTAAAAGGGGGGGGGCGCCTGGGTGGCTCAGTCGTTAAGCCTCTCTGCCTTCAGTTCGGGTCATGGTCACGGGGTCCTGGGATCAAGCCCTGCATCAGGCTCCCTGCTCAGTGGGAAGCCTGCTTCTCCCTCTCTCACTCCCCCTGCTTGTGTTCCCTCTCTCACTGTGTCTCTCTCTGTCAAATAAA